CCCCTCTGGCATGGGCCCCCCTCCCCCCCCCCCCCAATCCTCCTCCCCGTCGTGTATTTAAAGTGACAGTTCAGTGTACCCCTGCTATTGGCTGGCCATGTATAATTGACCCACCATTGAAATGCATTGAGGGAAGCTCAGGTAGTTGACTGGTTAGCACGTCCGCCTCACAGTGCTGAGGTGCAGGGTTCGGTTCTGGCTCCAGCCTTCTTGTATGCAGTTCGCAGGTTCTCTGCTGCGTGGGTTTTCTCCGGGTACTCCGGTTTCCTCCCACATTCCAAAAACATGCATGAGAGGTTAACGGAACGCTCCAAATTGTCCTTAGGTGTGATTATGAGTGCGAGTCGTTGTTTGTCTATGTGTGCCCTGCGATTGGCTGGCAACCAGTTCAGGGTGTCCCCCGCCTAGTGCCCGAAGACAGCTGGGATCGGCTCCAGCACACCCGCAACACGAATGAACATAAGGGGATCAGAAAATTGAGGCAAACCAATTCTTCCAAAAACGCTGAAAAACATTCAATGTTTTCCACAAAAAAAATGGGGAACCTCCCCTAACGCCCCCCAAAAAATCAAAAATTGGACAAAAGTCTGCGCATATGTGGGTGCCAAACTGCCAGTGTGCAGGGTCAACGGTACATATATTTAAAAAAAAAAAACATTAGCATTTGCTGTTTGTCTACGTTTCATATGTCCGCACTAGCGTATGAATTTCTGACGCGACCAGTCACTGACCTTAAAAGTGATACTTGTTTTGTCTTTTGTGAATCCTCCAAAGAACGAGCTGACGTTCGAACGACAAGGCAGACGTGACGTCATGACACACTCTTGCTTTGTATTTCAATCAAAAGGCAAAAGAGAGCTTGTAGAGTTATTTTTGTACGTTAAAAGTCCCGAATGTTTGCTAACACAGAAGTTAGCCACTCAAAATATTTCGCTCCTCATAGATTTCCTTAAATTGTCTGTCCCCGCCCCCCGCCTTTCCCCCCAACTGTGTTGTTGCTTTTTTTCTACAGCTCCACAAAAAGAAACCGGCTGAGAATTGTTTATACTGTATTTTTCTACAGCAGAATGGACAAACCGCATGGGACTGTGCATGGAAACAACGACCCATCTTTAACCAAAATGTGTGCATTATTACTTGTTGTTCGTTGTTTCATTTTTGTCATTAATTTTATTGTTTTTAATGCTTTTGAAAGTCCCCAAAGGCTTCTGAGTTTGCAATGTGGGCAGAAAGAGCATCAGATTTGATATAATAATAATTATTTTTCATGAGGTTGTTATTATAATTCTGACATTCTCTTTGTTTTTTGTTTGTTTGTTTGTTTGTTTTGCACCATTTGAATAAATTCTCATTGTATTTGAAGAATGCTGTGTATGGCTTCAAGTGTGGTGTGGCCAGGCCAAAGGATTTGACAAATCTGTTTGGACACTTCTGCTCTGAAATATGCTGGCTCCCTCTAGTGGTATGGAAAAAAAATCACAGTTACAATGTACACGATACATGTTTTGGAGAGTTCGTTTTTTTTTGGGTGCCGTGTTTTTTTTTTCAATGTTTTTCCAACAGTTAACGAATCATCAAATGAATCCACAACTATTTTGATAATCGATGAATTGTTTTAGAGACCTCGTTCAACTTAAAATGGTCCAAATTCTCTGAATTTCATCATGAGGCTTGGCTGTATTTTATTTGGGTCCCAAATTCATGGTTGGAGTGTTTTGTGGTTGCGTGCTGATCGGGCCTGATTGGCAGCTTGAATGCAGCTCACGTGATGCCTGGCAGCTTGTGTGCCTGCAAGCGTTTTGTTTTGCATCCGAGAAATCCGAGAACCTTATGTAATATTGAAGGAAGGGCGACAAATTCAAATCCTGACGTCCCTCTCCATGAGCTCCTCGCACACGACAAAAAGAAAGAGAAAGAAAGACTCACGTGTGCAACCAGCAGGAGTGTGGGATTAGTGCCACTTTTCCTTTCGTGTCTCGGCAGTATTTGGAAGTTTCTGGACATTTCTTCGCATGACAGACGCGGGGACAAAGTTGCTGAGGGCTCTCTAAAAGGTAGCGAAGAGGATTTTCGCGCATCCCATCACTTTTTATTCCCCCATGTCACTGGACCTAAAGCATAAAAAAAACCAAAAAACTTGACAGTTGATTTGGTTGTGTTCAAGTCCCACAAAAAGATTTCAAGTCAAAATGCATACTCGCTCGTTACTTTTGAGGTGACGAGCGAGGGTATTGCATAATGCCAGCAAAAATTAAGTGTTGGGTTTCATTCATTTTTACATTATGATGTCAGTCACAGGGCTCGTTGGATATAGAAAGTCTACACACACGTTTTTTCACCATTAATGTGACGTATGACCTGTGCAGATAAATATATTATAAAACTGAAATAATGTGGTTGCACAAGTGTGCACACCCTCTTATTAACTGGTGTCTGAAGGTTTTGTCCGAACATTGAGTGCAATTTCGAACTGTTCATAGTTCCCGCCTCTACCTTGTCTCAGATCCTACTCGGGGCAGGGCCTGGGGATTTGTTTTTGCTTCCAGACACCACAAGAAAACAGCAAAGCACTTTTATTTCTATGAGAAAAGCAACCGGACTGAATCAAGTTCACAATAGGTGCTTGTCATCAACGTACCACGAGAGGGCGCCAAAGTCCCTCTTGTGGAGGAGACCTGGCTTTGGCCCGAGAACAAAAACAGCCTTTATGTGAGTTTTCAGCAAATAATGAGTGAATGAAAGAATGAAATGTTCCTCAAACAAATCTCGTAAAAATTCGTAAATACTGGACTGCACATTTTTCTGGGCTTCATTGTGACTTTGAATGTAAAATTGATCGCATTCAAATGTGAAATCATGTCTGATTGTGACGTGTATCACTTTATTACAAAATTAAACGTATTTTTCTCGTGTTGCGGGTAATCCATCTCCAGCATTTACACAATTAAATGAATTTGCTGGTGAATAGAATCATTTCGCTCTTGTTTTGCCACCACTTCCGGGTGTAGTGTTCCTTTAAGTAGCTGGACGTCTCTCGTTTCTCCTTGGACTGCTTCTCCAAGAAGACGTCAACAGCCAGCCAGGCGGGCAGCGAGTCAGTGTGCTGTATTCGTGTGCGGATGGAGAAGTAGAGCAGACAGCGGGAGAGCCTTGCTTTTTTTATGTGGCGTTTTTGAGCGTCCACGGCGATGAGAAGCACGGCGGGCGCGGAGGTGCGAGGCATCCATTGCCGGTGTCCAGAACAACGCCGGAGGATGACCGCCGCACTTTCGTCATTTTGCAGACACGATTTCTTCGTTTTCTTCGCTTTTTGTCTCACTAGTTAACATGGAGCGAGGACGGCAGTAGCGACACTTTTTTCAACGCTTCCCCCCCCCCC